ATTTGAGAGTGAGATATTTGAATTGCACGCTTCCTTTTTCAAAGCGGGATATTTATAGATTTCCTTCCAAGCATTGGGGTAATCTGATCATTTTGGAAGGGGTGACAAGTGGTGATTCCTTAATGGCCACCTTATAAGTTATAACAAATTCAGTTAAAAAATCACGATTTACTCACTTTGTTCATGTGCCCCTGTCGACAAATTGTAGCCAGCAATCCGCAAACTTTATGCAAGCCTTTTGCATCTTTCGCTTCGCCGATAATTAACTTGGTTCTTAGATTGGCCCTTCGAGGGCTAACAATGTGTGTGGTTGGAAAGAAAAAAAAAAAAAAGTTGTGCGAAAGAAAATTTTGACTTATTTACCTTGACCATGTTGGATCACATATGTTTAAATCAATATTCAAGGCCCAATTGGGCTCTGGGCTCGAAGAAAATGCCCTGCATAGCAGCAACGTGGGAAAAAAGGAAGACAATTTTTTATTGACCATCTAAGATGCACCTAGACGTAACATCTTTTTGTTTGTCGGGCAGTGTTTTCTTATTTTTTCAGTGTAACCCTACAAAAACTCCATCCATTATTAAAATTTTAGAATGAGATAACTACACCAAGCACTTTATTTACATTTAAAATTCATATTACTCTACTGTTATTTTTTAATTCAACAAATACTTCCTTTTAAAAAACACACACTTGTACACACAAGTTCCTCGCTCTGCCCCTAAATGTATCTCCCCTTCTTCCATTTCCATCCGAAAAGCATGTATACAAATTGGCATATTGAATTAACCTTACAAGATATTACATATAAATTAGACGAGATAGATAGATACTACTACCTTCAAGAATGTTATATGCACTATCTTTCATATTCGGCCAAAACTCATCTCCTCACCCCTTGTGTTAGAGCAATGCTATTCATCCCCACTGGGATTGCATCCCCAGTCTAGGTGACGTTAATGTGTCATTAAATGATATGTGAAATTAAATAAGTCATTTAATTTCATCTATCATTTAGCCAATCATTTAATGTCATCTAGACTGGGGATGCAACCCCACTGAACCACATATCATTATTGCCTTTGTTATCATCCAGTTAGCTTAAGAAAAATAATGCAAATAATATTTTCTTGAATAAAAAATTAAAAAAATGTTATCCACCTCATTTCACCTAGTACTTTATAAAAAGTTTATCTGCTCTGATTTTATACTTAGGCCCCGTTCGGGAAGGATTAAAAGCCAATTAAAATTGAAAATATGGCCGTTATTGGGTCCCACTCGTCTAATAAAAGTCAACAATAACGGCTATATTTTCAATTTTAATCCGATTTTAATCCCTCCCATACAAGGCCTAT